TATTTAATACACGAGTTTCACAATTTGAGTTGAATTACTGAAATAAATGAACTTTTCCACGACATTCTAATTTGTTGAGATGCACCTGTATATATATATATATATATATATCACATTTTAAGGTTAATTTGGTCACACTTTAGTTTGGGGACCAATTCTCACTATTAAAGGTGCACTAAGCGATTTTTGAAAAATGCTTTTGACCACTGTGTCGGACCGAGTTCCAAAACACACTCGCAGCCAATCAGCAGTAAGGGGCGTGTCTAGTAATGATAGGGAGAAGAAAGCGCTCAGTGAGTGCACAGGATGGATATTAGCAGATCGACTATAGATAACGAGAGATGGCAGATAAAAAAAAAAGAGGAAAATTTCAGAGAAACAAAACATTAAAAAGAAGGGCTACGATCATGCAAGAGGACCCACGTAAATATTGGAGCAGCTTTCCAGCGGTGAAGAGAACACAAGGAACGGAAGGGAATCGGACGCCGATAAGATAACACAATAAGTACATTGTACTTATTTTTTGATGTAAGTACATAGTAGTTAAGGCCACTTAATATAAAGTGGGACCATATTATAATAATTATTGAATTAAACATGAAATAAATATCTTAAGTTAATGCATTAACTTTGACAGCCCTAAAACTATTTTCAATAATTTTTCTTTTCTCTCAAATTTTCCCCAAAACCCTTGCTTTACTGTATTATACATTAAAAAAGTTCAAAAATTAAAAATAAATAAATAAATAGCTACCTTACCTGGAACATTCTCTCAAAGTTCTTGACCATCAGGTGAGGTGGAAGCTTAAACTGGTTGCGTATGTCACTGCGCCGTTTGCCAGTGTAGGGCACGTCCACTGTAAGCACCAGAGCTTTGTAGCCAAGTGCCTCCACCCTGCGTACAATCTGCTCCGAGAGCTTACGGTCCCGGTACAAGTACAGCTGGAACCAACGGTACCCGTTGGGTGCTGCTGCAGCAATCTCCTCCACTGAACATGTGGAGTATGTGCTGGCTATGTAACAGGTGTTCACTGTCTCAGTGGCTAGGAAATGAAAGAAGAATGGAAAGATAAATTGCAAAAAAGTCAAACTAGTAGCTAGTAGCTTCAAACAAGTTTCCATCTAGTGGCCAAAGTGCTGCATAACACAAGAAATAATGAAACCAAGTCTCACCTCTAGGAGTGGCCAGTTCTCCCTCATGCCATGCAAGGCAGTGGAAAGCCGTGGGAGCAATTCCCACAGGGAAGCTTATCTCCATTCCCAGCACAGAGGTCCGAGTGTCATTGATCGACACATCACGTAAGACCCGCGGCCTCAAGCGGATCCTTAAAGAGATGACATTATAGTATGAGATTAGTTTAGTTAGAGATTACTCATAAGCATGGTCCATAAAATTGTAGAGTAACACAAATATAGAGTGATACAAATTTAACAGCAGCATAGTACCGTTTATAGGCCTGCAAGTTGTCATCTCTGGTGCAACAGTCATCAGCTCCGGCCTCATAATAGTCCCACGTAGCCTTTGAGAGGTGCTGCCTGGCATATTCCTCAAAATCATTCAAACAGACCATAGTCATTTCTACACAGACGCCTTCCTCGCTAAAAAACTAAAAAAAAACAAAAAAACATCTTCATTGGTATATACACAACTGATATCATTTCATCACTGACACAGAATTTGCATTCTTGCACCAATACATAAAGAGAAGTATGAACATCAATATTAGAATACAATTTAGATAATTTACTTTCTCAATATCAATGAATATAAAATACAAATAAATCTTTCGGGATGTATTAATATAAAAATATTTTCTTTATATTTCTCAAGGCATTTTTTGATATTAGTAAATGTGAAAAAAAAAAATACATTTAAAAATTGTTATGGAAACAATTTAACATTTTCGCACAATATTGCAGATTAGTGCTAAAAAACATTAAACAAATTACCTGCATTCAAACAGAACCATTACACACCTGTTTTTCCAAATTTAGGTTGGATATTACAATTAAATAGAATCACATTCAACAACTCTACTTTGGAAACACAAACAAGAAGTCCATTTTACCTTTTCTGATGGTTTAGACAAATTTAGGTCACAGCACAGTGGACTGCTTCGGTGCTTTTAGCCAGCTAACTTTGGCAGTCAAAACACTGATTAACGGATTCTAGATTTTCTCACTGGTAGACCTCAAGTGGTGAAAGTAGGCCAGTTCACCTCCAACTCCATCACCCTGAACGTAGGAGCTCCACAGGGCTGTGTCCTGAGTCCTCTGCTCTACTCTCTCTACACACATGACTGCGTGTCTTCCCACAGCTCCACATCTATCATCAAATTTGCTGATGATACTGTGGTTCTGGGCCTCATTTCCAACAACAATACTTGGATGAGGTAGAGCAACTCACATCATGGTGCCAGGACAATTGTCTCTCTATGAATGTGAGTAAAACTAAAGAGCTGATTGTGGACTTCTTGACTGTGATCGGGTAATTATCCTGGATGGTGACTGAAGTGACTGTGATGAATCCCTGACAAGTATACTGTCCTGTGCATTTTATTTTATTCTTATTTTTTTATCTTACTTTTTCCATACCTATATTTATATATAATTTTCTTGTGTTTGTATTCTTTAATAATTGCACTGTCCATGGAGCGGACCTGACTTACATTTCACTGCTGGTCATATATTCCGTCTATAACCATGTATGTGACAAATAAAAATCTTGAATCTTGAATCTTAACATGAAAGACTGAAGCAAGAGGAAAGAAACAAAAGTGGGTTGGGATTAACTTTTGAACTCTGTCAATGGGCCAGTATTTAGCTTTTACAAGACACTTTATTTCCTTACTGAGAGGATTGCATAGTACAAAAGAGAGTGAACTGAAATGTATTTTCACACTATTTGTTAGAAAAATCAAACTGTCAATAAACTTTTTAATAAAATTTTCATGCACTACCACCTAAAGGTAATAATTACAGCAGAACACCAGATCTGTTCTTGTAGTCATCAGAAACTCCTGACCTATGGACTTAATCCAGTACTGCTTTTAACAGACTGCAGCAACCCAATGTTTACTCATCCATCAATACATGTAAACTATGTAACTCTGACAGAACCAAAAACAACCATATGCTTTTAAAAATACAAATATTAGAATGAATCACTCACTTGTCTGGTCAACAGCAGTATAACTCTAACTTAAATATTTGGCTATAATGGACTGATATGAAACAGCCTGTGTGCAATGTAGATTTGCTCTAGTGTAAATAAACATAAAATAGCAAAAGAGAGGCATGACCTAGCAAGCTGGGGCCTGGTACTGACCCCTGATGTTTATTGTGTTTGCATTGACTGGAAATGTGCTGATTGGCCATACTGACCATAGAATAAAACTCAGGCGCATGTGCACAAGTGTGTAGCCTCCCTCACAGTTCTCTACATGTGATGCAACCACCTGCTCTGTCTGACTAACTAGTGAGATAGCAATAGCATAGTCTGTTTAGAATAAAGAACCTGCTGTTCAAATGAAATGGTCAAATAAAATTCTGACAGATGGCCAAAACTGATATATTTCTCTATTTTACAAAAATTGAGTGTTCACTTGAATTTACCTACACTCTAAAAAATGCTGGGTTGTTTCAACCCAACTTTGGGTCAAATATGGACTAACCCAACCATTGGGTTAAATTTTTACATTAAATTTTTAACCCAAAAGTTGGGTTAGGCCATATTTGACCCAAAGTTGGGTTGAAACAACCCAGCATTTTTTAGAGTGTAGTTTACCTAGTTTGACAATACTGCAGAATGTAAGTGGATTCAATCATTTAATCATATTTATACCATATTACATTATTCCTTCAGGTATATAAGGCATCTTATAAAAAAAAAAGGCAATCACACTTTATCAAGGACGAAGGCCTCAGAGCCATTTAAGTGGAGTAGCCAGAATTGATATGTTTTCAGGGTGTCATACAGTCTTTGAAGGTGTAGTAAACACACATGCTACTGTTGAAAAATATGGGTCAGTAAGGCATTTTTTAAAAGAAATTTGAAAAGAAAAAAAAAAAAGAAAAAAAATATATATATCATGGTTTCCACAAAAATATTAAGCAGCACAACTGTTTTCAACATTGAAAATACATTTTCATCAGAAATGCATTTAAAATATATATATTGTAATTGCCACAGTATTACTGTTTTATTGTATTTCAAATAAATACAGCCTTGGTGAGCATAAAAGACATTTAAAAATCTAAAAAAAACAAACAAACAAAAAAAACAACATTTAACGAACAGCAGTGTATTAATGCCTCATTTTACATTAAAAAAATTAGGTCAACAAAACGTTACCTAAACATAAGTAGGCTATATTAAAGCTTCACTGTTCTTCTTAAAAAATGCACTAGCCTACTCAACCATTTTAATAATATAAAAAAATTAACAGATCTGCATGCTTTTCATAGTGTACTTAATGTCACACCTTTTAGTGTTTTATCTCACATCACAAACATTGTATTATAGTAGAGCCTGAACTCCTGCCATTCCTTGTGCTTAAATGACAAACAATCATATCACAACAAAAGTTCACATATACATAATTAATACAGAATGACAGTTAATTATCTTACAGCAGTCAATAAACTGAGTGATGAACAAACAACATATTCAAACAAACATCAGATACTGTTTAAATCTGTTTGGCTGCATCAACTCTCAGTGAGCCAGGACATATAACAGTCACTTACATACAAATCTGTGTCCGTAGAATCAAATCGTGACACAATACATTAATGCCTCCACATAACCAAGAGCCATTGTCAATAGAAATAATTATGCTATTGAATGATCAACAGTAGTATCAACAAATACAACAGCAAAACAGCGGGTCTCACTGACTCTGTTTCAATCAAACTGCATTGTGCTACAGTCACACATCACATGGTTTCCTCACACGTGGCCTATTTTGTTTTTTTATTCCTTATCAAACAATCTCTCCATAGTTTAGGTATTTCCGGCAGATGTGTGCTCAATAATATCGCTCATGTTGCTAGTCACTTACCCACTAGAGCTCAATATGTTCATATTTTTATGACACTCCAGTTCTGCATATGTATGACGTTCACAGTCTTGAAAGAAGCATGTAACAACATTAGATCACTTCTTTCTTTTGACTGGTTATTTTTCTTTTATGATCCATCTTTTTTTCTAAATGTTGTCATTATATGTCAGACAACACGGACCTCTAGAACAAATGAACACTAGATGGCGATAGTAAGCAAATAAAGACTTTTTTTGGGGAAAGATTTCGTTGCATATGTAAGATTTTATGCGTATAAGATAAAAGCTTGACACATACAACCTAACATTCGGGATGGATTACAAGCTCCAACCAAATCAGTAAATGTATGATCAAATCTTAAAATAACTGTTTTGATGATAAACAAAATGATCACCTCACAAAAGGATTGTCCAAAAAAAAGTTTACACGAGATAAATAAAAAGTATTAGTGTTGCAGTAAAAGTTGCTATAAGATCAACTTAATTGATTGTGGCTTTCAGTCATTTGACAGCTGTCGTCACACAAAATGTATCTCACTGGAGGAATCCATAGGCCTATCTAAGCCAGGATTTAATACATAAAATACTCGATATTATTTGTAAAAAAAACAAACAAACAAAAAACTTGTTTTATATTATTTTTAAAATAAAACAAATGTTTTTTTTTGTACCCGAGTTAATTACTTTATCCTCAGAAGTCATTTGTACCCTTCCTGTGTGTATGTGAAGTTGCCATATGTCTTACCTTGTCGCTAAATCCCTTGAGTTGCTCCTGAGATCTGTACTGTGTTTCCCTGCAACATGTGTTCAGGTAGGACTGTACAACAGTGGGTCAACCCCCTGCCCCGGCTGCTCCCCAGTCTCTCTCTCACACACACACACACACGCACACACACACACACGCACACACACACACACACAGATAGATGTCTGGTTTACTATCCTTGTGGGGATAAGGCGTAATGGTTTTTATACTGTACAAACCGTGTATTCTATCGCCCTACACCAACCCTACACCTAAACCTACCCTCACAGAAAACTTTCAGCATTTTTACATTCTCAAAAAAAATAAAAATAATTCTGTATGATTTAAAAGTTTGTTCACAATTCAGGTCCCCACGGTGACACGAGTCCCCATGAGTCGGTGTATATTCAGGTTTAAGTTCCCACCAGGATAGAAAAACACATACACAGAGCCACTCACCCGTTCACACAGTCACTAAGCCCTACAGTCAGCACTAGCCCAGTCCACGCATTGTACAAGAGTGAAAAAGGGGCCAGAAGCAACTTTTTGTTTCAATTGTATGCTTAGAGTGAGAGTCACTGGCATGACATCAATGTGACTATTTGTTCTGCTTTTCTTTGGTCCAATTTTGCAATATGTTTTCAAATCAAATGTTCAAATAAATACTATTCTTTGAATATTGTTGGCTCTGTGACAAATTGCTTATGTTTTACATTTTTAAGTCTCTTCAGATAAATAATACTTATTTTGGTCTATGCATTATTTCAGTT